ACCACCACCACCACCACAAGCAATATCCCATCTTCCTGATTTATTTTGTTAGTTCTTTTCTTGAAGTACATAGTATAACAATTACTACCATGTTGACATTTCTTTTTTAAAATGTAACACATGTCCGGCACCAAATCAGGAGGTGGACGACAAAGAATGAAAAGGCTGGGACGATAAGGGGGGGGGGAGCTGTCGTGGTAGTGGTTATCCTCAGGCTTTTCTAAAGCTAGACTGTTTTACAACGTTCTTGTGTTATGTACTCTTTTAAGCAGACAAGACCATGTGTATCCAAGTCGCACACCAGATTAAGCGATCCCGAATGTCTCCAGGGTTCAAAGTAGGAGAACGTTGGGGTGAAATAGATTAAAATACTCAAACTCCCAAAAATGAAAGTAAAACTAACGTTATAGCATGTTATGTCACTCAACGTCATTTCAAAAGATATATTATTATCTATTGCTCAAAAGGACTCAACCCATGTCATAACAATGGCTGATTTCAGAATCCGAGGCAGTGTTCTATTCTGAACTGTCCTCAGGGAAGCTTAAGGTTGGCACACAAAAACAATGCTACGAGGACACCCTGAAAATATATCTGAAGGACTTCAATATAATTCCTTCGACATGGGGGAGCCTTGCTCCAGACAAACCCAGCTGGAGAGCAGCAGTCACAATGGGCGGCAAATCATAAGAGGCTTCACGAATAAGAAATGCTGAAGCCAAGAGAGAAGCCCATAAGCAGCGTAATTCCACAAATGGAAGTAGAGACGTTAAATGTTCAAAATGTGGCAAACTGTCGACTGGCATGCCGGATTGAAACTTGATCGCTGGCCAGATCTGACCTCACGCTATAGTTGAGCCATGCTTGCTCTAAAGAAGTTCCCCTGACCTTGTTCCAATCCAAAAGGGTGTAAACCTGAGCTGAAACTGGGTTAAACGCAATTATCATCATCATCATATCCCCACCCCCTTTCTTCTTCTTCTTTTTCTTCTTCTTCTTCTTTTTCTTCTTCTTCTTCTTCTTTTTTTTCTTCTTCTTTTTCTTCTTCTTCTT